AAAGATGTACAATTTGAAGCAGCTCTCTTAACCCCACAAACAGGCATTTAATTACTTATTTTCAAAAGATACAACTATGAGAATTCTTGGACTACTGGGAAAATAATTCCATCAACTTTGCTTTTTGTCAGAGGAAAAGAAAATAGAGCCAATGCACCCAAAAAATGTTTTGGTATTTGTCGTAAACTTTGGTTCTGTGCGTCAGTGAGGTGGTTTGGAAGATAGATGTATGTAAAGTTAAGAAAGTTGGGATATCATCAGCCTCCCAATTCTATCTCCCCTGCCTCCCACAATGAAGATGTCCCTTCTAGTGAAGGTACAGAGTTTCCCTTTTTAAAAGGCTTTTTATTGTGAACTTATTAACAGTTTACAGAACAGATCATCACTTGTGTACTCCAGAACTCATACACTTCATTTCATCTCAATGACTGCAATCCTCTCCATGGAACATCACTTCTCCCACTTCCTCCCTGTGATTCCGGCTTCCCAACCTTTCTGAGTTTTGTCTTCAGGTAAATCTCGGCGCACTTTTGATCCTGAATTGTTGACCCTTCTGTGGTGTGCACACCTTGCTCGTGTTGTTGCCCCTCTATATCAATCACTATCTACTGTGTAACTGAAAATTGAGCCATAAGAATGAGTGCAGATCCAGACTTGAAGGGTGACTAGGGGCGGGATTTTCCGTTTAAACCTGTGCAGGTAATAAAAGGTCACTCACCCATCATCCCTGAGCTACACACACTTGGATTACTGTCATAATAGTGGTGAAGGGTTTGCATTCAATCATCCTATGCCTCTGGTGTCTGTTGGGATACAGCACAGGCTGTCCTTCATGAGTACTTCAGTGTGAGCATAATGAAACTAGCTGGATTCTAAAGACAAAGGAAATAACTCGGTCAGAATCCCTTGGGCCAGGGCACTGGAGCAGAATGAAACACCAACCCCAGCAGCATAAATGCACATTTCCTCAGACTACAGACCCAGTGTTTCTTACACGGTTCTAGTTTATTTCTATTGTTCTGCATTGCTGTTTTAAAGGATGCCCAGTTGCATAGCAAATAAGAACCTTTCAAATAAAGAAAATCGCCCTCAAATCATTGTTGTTTATAAGTGCCATAGATTTGGTTCCGATTCACAGAGACTCTATATAGGGTTTCCAAGGCTACAAATCTTTACAGAAGGAGAAAGCCTCATCTTTCTCCTGAGGAATGGCTGGTGGGCTTGAGCCACAGTCTCTGTGATTCATCATACAGTGTTTATCCTACAAACCCACCATGCTCCCCACCAAACCATAGGAAAATATTAAAATATCATACCAAAAAGAATTATTTTGTAGCTTTGGATGTTATATTAAAACATCCACAGGATGGATTACTTACATAAAATAGGAACTGTTTATACTTCAGAAATGTATCATCAAAGTTTTCGTCTTGAGACATTTGGCCTGGCATTTAAGGGGATTCCCGGTGCCTGACTCTTGTTGCTGACAGTCTTTGTTCAGGGAAGCTTCTCCTCAGTTATCACATCTAGGCCTAATAAATCTAATAAACATCTAGGCCCTCGTTTCCCTTTAATGCCGCTGTCTGTGGAACTGTAAACACAAGAAAGCATTTCTACTATGGCCAAGTCAATAGTCCTCTATTAATTCTAATAAGTGAAGGGACAAACCCCCAATATGTGCTTAAAAATAAGATGCTATGTATCTTAAACATAATATAAATGTATGTATAAGATATATAAATGTATGTATCTTATACAAAATAAGGGGAGTTTTGTGTTTTGGGGTTTTTTTTCTGTTTAGGTGTCTTCAATGGATACATTTGTAAGATCAGGACTTTATTATTATTTTTGTTTGTTTGTTTCAGTGTCCATGCTTTGGGCTTCAGCTACCTACAAGATAATCCCGTCTATGTTGGGTGGTCAGCTTGGCCCCTTAACTAATAAGTTGTTGCTGTTGTTACTGTTAAGTGCCGTCGAGTCAATTCCAACTTATAGCAACCCTGTATGGGGTTTCCGAGGAGCAGCTGAAGGTTTGAACCACCAACTTTGCAGTTCAAACTGACCTTGTGGTCCAGTGCATTATCCAGCAGTGCCACACCAGGACTCGTCACTACTAAGTAGAAGATTAAAATTTCTGTCTTTGAGAAACTGTGTAACACTACGTGACATGGGTCTTTAATGAACTTCTCCAAAGGAATGAAAACATGAATCTTGTAATAGGTTTGTTGTTGTTAAATACCATCAAATTGGTTCTGATCTACAGTGACCCTGTATAAGATTTCCAAGGAGTGGCTGGTGAGATTGAACTGGCAACCTTGCAGATCAAACTGTCTTTGCAGTCCAGCACATTAACCCACAGTGCCACACCAGGACTCTGTAATAGCTTAAAGGTTGTCAGTTGGTGAAGCTTACTTGTACTTCAGAGCCTTAGTCTTCAAGGCTGACCCATGACACGCTGGGTTGTAGCTCTATTAAAATGGTGCTCCTTGTAGACTTTTTTGGTATTGAGTAACACCAGAAAGGACATTAGAGTTGAATTTTCTGCATCTATTAAAATACATTGTGTCCTATTATCTGCTTTGACAGACAATTCCTCTTATCTTCTTCCTCTTATCTTAATGCCTCAGGTCAATGGATGTCAGGATCACCCAGCTACTAGGAAGCCAAAGGAAGGCAGGCCAAAAGGCCTTGTGTGGAAGAATGAAGAAGGTTCACTTTTCGGTACGTGAACTACTTTCCTACTCAAAGCATTACCCAGGACCATTCTGTTTTGGTCATCTCGGTGACTGTAATCCAGGCTCTAGCCCAGAGCTTGATGTTTTAAAAATCAGAGGTCTAAAGACATCTTAACAATAAGTAATATGTCAGCTCAAATGAAGGCAACTCAGTGTGAATTACTTTAGGCACAGGATAGAAAACAAAGCAAATAACCTCTTTAAGGAATTGGGTCTGGTCTCATAATAGTGTTCATCCCATGGTATAACTTTAACAATTCTTGGCCTTTTATGAAGTCTTGTTGTATTCCTACTAAGTGCCACCAGCTGACCCAAGGTAAGCAGAGCCAGCCCTGCTCAAGACAGTCAAGTTCCCACCCTCAGAGAAGACACACACAACCTGAATCCATTCTGAACACACAGGTTTCTGTTTAATAACTAACTTATCTTACCACAACTAGAGGAGCCCCGAAGGCATAGTGGGTCACATGCTGCATTGCTAATCACAGGTCAGCAGTTCAAATCCACCAGCCACTCCACAGGAAAAAGATGAGGCTTTCTGCTCCCGTAAAGATTTATAGTCTCAGAACCCAATATGGGGGTCACTGAGTCAGAACTGACTTGATGGCAAATACCAATAACAAGTCACAACTAACCGGAGAGGGTGCTTTCTTGCATAACTCATCTTACAGCAAAGGGGCTATCAGGATTACATTCTGCCCCTCCAAACTTAGTGTCAGCTTGGTCAGGCCATGATCCTCAGTGGTTTGGCAGTTATGTGAAGATGCCCCATGATATGACCAGTAAGAAAATTAAGGATGGGATGTAATACCTTTATTCTTGTCACAACCTTAATAAATGTAACAGGGAGTTTCTCTAGAATGTGGCCTGCAACACCTTTGATCTTATATAAGATAAAGGACAAAGAAGCAAGCAGGCATGAGAGGGGTCTATCACCACCAAGACTGAAGAACTGGCAACACGGTGCGGCCTTTGACCCTGAGATCCCTGCACTGAGAAGCTTCTAGATCCAGGGGGAGACTGATGCCAAGACACAGGGAGATCTCCAAGGAATGCTGGGCCTGCAGAGGCTGACAGGAGACAAGGACCTTCCCCAGAGCTGACAGAGTGAAAGTCTTCCCTTAGGGTTGGTATTCTGAATTCAGACTTCCAGTCTCCTAAACTGGAGTCCTGGCGTGGGGCTGTGGGTTAATTAATGCACTGGATTGCAAGGTCGGTTTGAGCCAGAAGGTCAGTGGTTCAAGCTCACTGGTCACTCCTTGGAAACCCTAAATAGGGTCACTATGAGTCAGAACCAACTCAATAGTACTTAACAACAACAAATAACAAGTCTCCTCAGTGGGGAGAGAATCCATTTTTGTTTGTTTCAGCCAGCAACTTGCAGTATTTCTGTTATATTAGTACAAGAGAACTAAGAAAGGGGATATTTGCGAAGAAGATTAAAACCATGAAAACCTTTTTGAAAGTTTCACATTCCAAAACATGTGCAAAAGTGTGCTTTCCAAATAGGCCTTCTTGTCTACAGCAAATGAACATATTTCTAAGTGTACATAAAAATACAGACACTTGATACATTTATTCTCTTTCCAAAACGACAGCAAATCCTGCATTGTTGTTTTAAAATGCATTGAATGGCATGACCAAAAGGCACAAATTTTCTAAATATTAAAGTAATATTTGTGACTAACAAATGGGGTGTTCAAGCAAAAAAAGAAAAGAAAGAAATGATCTCTTCTAGTTCTATATGGCACATTAGTGTACATTCTATGCCCTAACTGTTCTAGCTATGCGGAACAGCTGTCATATTTGGTGAAAAACCATCTTAGATTATTGTTGTTGCTAAGGGCCATCTCATAGCAGCCCTATATAGGGTTTCTGAGGAGCAGCTGGTGGATTTGAACTGCTGACCTTGTGCTAATCCTACAGGGTCATACCAGGAGTTCTCTTAGATTATGGTGTTGTTAATAAAAAAATCAAATTGTTTTTGAAGCTGTAACTTTTAGGGTCACACATGAATAATGCTAAACCTTTTCCTTCCTAAAAGAAAAATACTATTTACGATGTTAGAGTCCTCTCCAACAGTATCTCATAATCACTGGCTGTATTTTTATTTACCGCAGATAAGACATCAAAATCTGTCACCATAAATAATACTTTTCAGTTGTAAATTTGATGGCACAGTCCAACAAAAATATAAACTTATTTAACATATTTAGACTCCATATTTATTGCTCTTTGTCCTCCTTTAGGCCTTGTAGAGTGTGATTATTTAAAAACGAGAGTTTTGTGCTCTGAAATACCATACTTCCCTTTGTGCTCCTCAAATAATTTCCTGAGTTCCTCCATGTAGTTCTGATGCAGCGTCTCAATCTGCTCTGAGGTTGGGTTCAAAGTTTGATGAACGGGAATTGGACGGCCCACTGTAAAAATAGAGAACACATCATACATGAGGAACCAAACCCACTCCACCACGGATGGCTATCTCTCATGGATGACTCTGGAAAGATCTGCTAATCAGCATCCATCCAGGCCTCCTCATTTCATCTTTTCTTTATTCTACTGGCTGCCTGCAGTGGTCAGACCATCCCAACTGGTAACAAGACTCTTCCTTCTCAGTAGACAGTCATCTGTCAGCGCCCTGGAGGCTTTGACTTTGAATCAAACGAGCTACTGTGCTGATGGCAGCTATGAGCAATATGGATGTAGCTGGGTGTCCACATCCCTAATCTGCTCCCATGGGCACAGCTGGCAGTCAGACCATAGTAGTTTATTATTAATGACTATGCAATCCTTGAATCATGTGACATCAGGCCTCCACACCGACTCTTTTTGCGTCTTTCTAAATAATGAAATATGCGGATCTATGTGTGTTTCCACAGCTAAGGACTGGTACAAAGGAAATACAGACTCTTGAGGATTTCACTGTAATCATAAAAATCTGAAAAGTCAGTTAAAAGCCTTAATATAAGAATTACAAAAAACTATGAAACATTCAATCATTCAATGGACTCCTAGACAGTATTTTTTCCCCTTTTAATTTTATTTATCTTGTGGTTTTTGAGAATATACAATGCATTTGTTGTTGATAGGTGCCATCGAGTCGGTACTGACCCACAGCAACCTTACGCACAGCAGAACAAAACACTGCCCGATCCTGGGCCAACCTCACTACTGTTGCCACGCTTGAGTCCATCGATGCTGCCACTTGGCCAATCCATCTCGCTGGGGATCTTCCTCTTTTTCGCTGACCCTCCACCTTACCAAACATGATTTCCTTCTGCAACGACTGGTCTCTCCTGACAATATGTCTGAAGTATGATAGACGAAATTTGACCATCTTGGCCTCCAAGGAGCACTCTGGCTGCACTTCTTCCACAATGGATCTATTGGTTCTTTTGGCAGCCCATGGCACTTTCAATATTCTCCTCCAACACCATAACTGAAAAGCATCAATCCTTCTACAGTCTTCCTTATTCACTGTCCAGCTTTTGCATGCATATGAGGTTATCGAAAATACCATGGCTTGGGTCAGGCACACATGAGTACTCAAGCTGACATCTTTGCTCTTCAACACTTTAAAGATGTCTTGTGCAACAGATTTGCCTAATACAATACGTCATTTGATTTCTTGACTGCTGCTTCCCTGAGTGTTGATAGTTGATCCAAGAAGAATGAAAGAATGAAATCCTTGACAACTTCAATCTTTTCTCCATTGATAAAAATGTTATTTATTGGTCTAGTGGTGAGGATTTTTGTTTTCTTTACATTGAGATGTAATCCATACTGAAGGCTGTGCTCTTTAATCTTCATCAGTGAATGTTTTTTAAGTCCTCTTCACTTTCAGCAAGCAAGGCTGTATCATCTGCATATTGCAGGTTGTTAATGAGTCTTCCTCCAATCCTGATACCACGTTTTTATTCATAGAACCCAGGTTCTCGGATTATCTGCTCAGCATACAGGTTAAATAAGTATGGTGAAAGAATACAACCTTGTCACACATCTTTCTTAATTTTAAACCATTCAGTGTTCCCATGTTCTGTTCGAACAACTGCCTCTTGTTCCAGGTACAGATTCCTCACGAGTACAATTAAGTATCCCGGAATACTCATACTTCACAATGTTGTTCATAGCTTGTCATGATCCACACAATCGAAAGCCTTTGCGTAGTCAATAAAGCACAGGTAAACATCTCAGGAAGTTTTCTGTCAATGTATGCTTGCAGCCGTTTCTGTATTACCTTTAGTAAAACTTCACTCACATTGAATGGTGTAGAAAGCATTAAAAGAAGATGGAAGGAATACAGAGTTACTGTACAAAAAGAAATGGTTGATGTTCAACCATTTCAAGAGGTAGCCTATGATCAAGCGCCAATGATACTAAAGCAAGAACTTCAAGGTGTGCTAAAGGAATTGGCAAAGAACAAGACTCCAGGAATTAATGGAATACACATTGAAATCTTTCAACAAACTGATGGGGAGGCACTCACTCCTCTATGCCAAGAAATCCATATTTGTGCCCATTCCAAAGAGAAGAGACCCAATAGAATGAAAAATCAGCAGACAATATCACTAATATCACATGCAAAAAAATTTTTTCTAAAGAAAATTCAAAGACAGTTGCAGCAGTACACTGACACTGAACTGACAGACGTTCAAGCCGAATTCTGACGAGAATCATGGTTGATCTCAGATGGATCTTAGCTGAAAGCAGAGAATACCAGACAGATGTTAACCTGTGCTTTATTGACTATGCAAAGACTTTTGATTGTGTGGATCATGACAAGCTATGGACAACATTGTGGAGAATGAGTATTCCGGAACACTTAATTGTGCTCATGAGGAATCTATACGTAGGTCAAGAGGCAGTTGTTCGAATGGAACAAGGGGACACTGGATGGTTTAAAATTAAGAAAGGCATGTGTCAGGGTTATAGTCTTTCACCATACTTGTTCAACCTGCATAATGAACAAATAGTTCAAGAAACTGGATTATATGCAGAAAAACATGGCATCAGGATTGAAGGAGGACTCATTAACAACCTGCGATATGCAGATGATATAACCTTGCTTGCTGAAAACAAAGGGGATTTAAAATACTTACTGATGAAGATCAAAGACTGCAATCTTTGGTTTGGATTGCACCTCAATGTAAAGAAAACAAAAATTCTTACCACTTTACAAAAGATAAATGGAGAAAAGAGAGAAGTTGTCAAAGACTTCATTTTGCTTGGATCAACCATCAACCCTCATAGAAGGAGCAGTCAAGAAATCCAAGGACGTATATTACACTAGATAAATCTACTGCACAAGGCCTCTTTAAAGTATTGAAGAGCAAAGGTCACTTTGAGAACACCACAGAAGAACTTATGCATTTGAGTTATGGTGCCTGAGGAGAATATTAAAAATACCATCAACCACCAGAAGAACAAACAAATCTGTGTTGAAAGTAGTACAGCCTCAATGCTCCTTAGAAGCCAGGATGCCCAGACTTTGTCTTTCATAACTTGGTCATATTATCAGGAGGGACCAGTCCCTGGAGAAGGACATCATGCATGCACAGTCAATAAAATACAGGCAAACATCTCTCTGGTATTCTCTGTTTCCAGCCAAGATGCATCTGACATCAGCTATTATACCTTTAATTTCACAGCTTCTCCTAAATCTGGTTTACATTTCTGGCAGTTCTCCATTGATGTACTGTTACAACTGTTTTTTGAATTATTTTCAGCAAAATTTTACTTATTTATAAACTTTAATGATACTGTTTGATAATTTCCATGTTCTGTTGGATCACCTTGCTTTGGAAAGGACACCATATGTATAGATCTCTTCCAGTTAGCTGGCCAGGTGACTGTCTTACAAATTTCTTGGCAAGAATAAGTGAATACTTCCAGTGTTGCATCCATTTATAAAGAACATTTCAGTTGGTTACTTGAGCCTTGTTTTTCACCAATGTCTCCAGTGTAGCTTGGACTTCTTATCTCAGTATCATCTTTTCTTGACCATATGACACCTTCTAAAACGTTTGCATTTGATCAGCTCTTGTTGGTACAATGACACTGTATATTCCTTCCATAACCTTTTGATGCTTCCTGCTTTGTTCAGTTGTTTACCCACAGAATTCTTCAATACTGCAACTCAAGGATTGAATTTTTTCATTAGTTCTTTTGAATTGAGAAATACAGAGTGTTTCTTCTCTTTTGTTTTTTAAGTCCAGGTCTTTGCACAGTTCAACATAATAATTTAATTTGTGTTCTTCCTGAGTCGCCCTTTGAAAGTTTCTGTTCAGCTATGATTGGGGGGCGGGGGGCTCCCAATGCATATATAAGTTATGCATACACTACACTGCAGTCTATTAAGTGGGCAATAACATTATGATACTCAGCTATTTTACTTCATCATTTCTTCCATTTGTTAATGAACAAAGAACAAACATGTTGTGCGATGACATCCAGGACATAATATAGCAAAAAAGCAAACTTAAAAGACAAGAAGAGTCCTGGTGTGGTGCTGTAAGATAAAGACTGGACTGCTAACTGCAAGGTTGGAGGTTCAAAACTACCAGTAGCTCCTCAGAGACCATATTCAGGATCATCTGACTCAATGGCATTTAACAACAAGAAAAAGACCAAAATGGATGTCAGTAGAGACTCTAAAATTTACTCTTGACCATAGAGTAACTAAAGTGAACTGTTCTGGGGAGTACTGTGTATTCTTTCAATGTTTTATTGTGAATTATGTGCTAGTTTACATGGGAGAACATTAGCTTTACATTCATCCTATCATATATCATTTCATTGCCATGGTTACAATCCTCTCCATGCATCATCAACCAACTAAAGAGTTCACCCTGCAAACCTGCCCCCCTGTCATCAGCACACAACCCCTCTCCCTCTCTGGGTCTAGAGTTCCCAGCTGCTCCATGTTTCCACATCATCGTCTCTGCCTCCATCTCTGGAGTCACTGCTTCTCTGGGTAAGGTCCTGCATTCCGCTCTTCTCCCTTGATGGTCCCAGGGACCTCCGCTCCTAGACTGCAAAGTCAACCACTCCCCTCCTTTTGCTACAAAATGTCTACCTTTAAATTTCCAACCCTCACAGTCAGTCCTGATTGCAATCATTCACTATTGTACCACAAGAGTCCTATCCTCATCTCCTTTCATTTCATTAGCTCCGCCCAGAGAGACTGGATACTGCTCAGTGGAGATTCTACCTTCTTCCACGCCCTCTGGATCTAGGCTCCCTCTTGAAAGCTTGTAAGCCAGTTACTTCTTGCCTTTGTAGCATCCCCATTTTGGGTAGCCAATGTCCAAGTTGCCCATCTCTGTCTTCTCTGTGTATGGAAGGGGTGGGAATGATCCTTGCTGTAAAGATTTGTTCCCTCTTTTGAGTTACTGCATCCCTAGGTGTAGGTCAAGTTCAT